ACCTAATGCCGGGGACTTAAGTGGAGAGGAAATGTTTTGAGAATGATGAGGGCAATGAATATACAAATGCGCTTTACACAATTGATGTATGAATGGATTGTGATAAGAGTTGTATGAGCCCTAATAAAATGATTAGAAAAAAAAAAGAAATTCCCTCTTCATGTGGGGCTGCTCTCTCTGCCTCTCATGCCCAGGGCCCTGCCACAGTCCCAGATAGTCACAAGACTACTCTTTAGAATGACTTCTTTGCCTTCTCCATCCACTGGGCTACTGCACCAGGAGTGGACAGCAGGGAGGGTGGGTGGAAGGGAAAGGTGAAGGGTGAGTAGTCACAGGGGTATAGGAGACATGGACTTGAGAGAAAGGTATACCTGACTGATTCTGAAGAACAGGAGCTTGATTTTGGACTGGGCTGGGCTCTGGACTCTAGATTCTGGTTTGGACTCAGGCTTTGAACTCTGGATCCTTGGTTGGGCTCTGTGCTTTGATTTGGACTGTAGGCTCTGGATCCTGGGCTGTGACCTATCGACTCTGGGTCTGGGTTAGGTTGTAGGCTATAGGTTGCTGGCTAGGCTGTGAGTTCTGGAAATGCATCTGTTCAGGCAGTTGTTTATTATACAAAGAGTGATTGGGTGGAGTCCGATGTGATCAACACTCCTTCTCTCTGTCCCTCCCCCACAACCATTCCAGGTCACTCAGGAGCCTATGTCCAAGTGGGGGAGATAAGTAGAATCATTAAAGTATCCCAGTGGATTCCTTGAGACATGGGGCTGGAAATCAGTCCATAGGAGCCCCCCTTGGCGAGTTCACCTGCTCCCTTTTTCTCTTCCTCCCACCATGGAAGAGGGGGAAATCTTTGGGTGGTTGACCCCTTTCTGCTCATACACAGTTGGAGAGTGTGGTCCCCAAGGAATGACCCTGGCCATGGTCAGCATCAGCAGCCAAGTTGGCCAATGCCAGCTTGGTCACCCCATCCAGGCCACTGGCTACAGGATGTTGCTGTAATCGTGGGAGTCCTGGAGCTCCTTCTGGGCCATGGCTGAGAAGACCCACTGCACCTGCAACGAGGTCAGAGATTAGATCAGCCCATCAGACAGGCTCTCTGCACCCTGCCCTTCCCCAGCTCAGTTGCCTGTGCCCTCACCTTGAAGAGAGTGATGGTGGCACCGTAGCTCACACTGAGCAAGAAAAGAGTGATGAAGATGCAGGTGCCAGTCCACAACTCCTCTAGCTCCTTGCTCTCGTCCTCTTCCATGCATAGGACTTGAAGGTCCAGCTCTGGGGAGATGAGTCAATTAGTCCTGGCCCAAGACAGTAGCAGGAGAGGGAAGATCCAGGTCCCTCCCTGGAGTTAGCAAGGATTCGAGTCTTCTGTCCTGATTGGGAGCAGGGGGGAGGGGAGGATGAAGCTTCTCACTGGTTGGAGCCCAGGGTAGTAGAAGCTCCGTTTGGAAGACCCACAGTCACAGACCTTCAGTTGGTCATGGCCCCGTGGGAGCAGTCCCCACCCTCTGTCCTCTCCTGAACCAGCAGCCTTCATTCCCTGGATCTCAGATTGGGCAGACTTACCGGCCTCCTCTGACTGCTTCTCCCTCTGCCCCTTCCTAGATGCTTTGAAACGATTGCCTGCATGCAGCCCCAGCTTTGCCTCTCCCAGGCCCCTGCTTGAGAAGGACCCCACATGGCACCAGGGAGCTCAGGCCAGTGGTCCCTTCATCTACAAAGCTTCCAGAGCAACCATTCCTTCTTTTGACACATCTCACTTCATCCAACGTGACCTCATTTCTGCCCTGGGCAGCCCCAAGTCCCTGCAAAGGCACAAAGCCAGCTCCATTTGCCTCAGGAGGAGATCTGAGACCACAACCCAGGACCGCAACAGGACATGGGACAGGCTTGGGCCCCATGAATCATCAAGTCAGGATCTTTGAGAACCCGGACCTGTCCCTCATGAGATCAGAGGTTCTTAACTGTGTGGAGCCAAGGCTAGGTGGATGAATCAACATTCAGGCTAGGTCTGAGCAAGCCCAGAGCTATTGACTGGGTCATGGCCCACCCACACTGGCATGGTTCCTCTTCCTTCTGTGGCCCCACCTAGAAGGTGGGCCTTCTACAGTGGCCTAAGCCCTGGAGCCACAGAAGCATCCTCACTGTTTCGCTCCTCCTCCTACCTCTGCCCTCAAACTATCTCTTATCTCCATGGGCCAGACTGAGGTGACAACCAATAGGTGGTTCTCCCAGGCCAGGGGAAGCCCTTGCCTTTGTCTCTCCTGGCCTAGGGTTAAGCCCTCTCTCTCTCTCATGTTCATGGCCCAGTGGGGAGAATAGGGAAGATGAAGGTCCTAGGGGTCTCAGCTCATAGGGCGTGCATAGTGCCCAGATGTGTGCAGGCTATAAGGGGGAATTTCAGTGCCTGGGTGTGGGCTGGCATGTCTTTGGAGCTGTCTGTGTAAACAGTGTGTATGCTTCTGTGCTTGAGAAGGAGTCTTGGAACTGACCGCTAACTGCAAGGTCACCAGTTCATTTCCAAGACTGCTCCATGAGAGAATGAAGAGGCGGTTCGTTCCCATAAAGATGTGCAGTCTCAGAAACCCTCTCAAGGGTCTGTAGGAGCCCAAATGGCCTTGACATCAGTGGGTTTAATTTGGCTTCACTTGTGTGCGTGGTTGAGAGTGTATGTGCGTATTTGTTTACATGTGATGGATGTAGTGGGTTTGATGTCTGTGTGTGTAATTGGTCTGGGGAATGTGTGGGTGTACACTTGCCTGATGAGTACATGTGTGATGAGTTTG